CACCAAAATTACTGTAAATGTTTGCTCTTTTAGGATAGATGTTACAAATTGATTCATGTAAGAGAAATTGCCAATTTTTTTTTCTTGTTAGATGCGATATAGATGCAATTTAGATGAAAATTATTTGGAGCATGGCTTGTTGAATATATAAATTTTGCTTAGATTTTTAAAATCGCACGCTTTAATCATTTATGATTATGGTGATCGTTGATAACTGGTCTACGTATAGAAGATCTTTTCGAGGATGTGGTCGTGTTTTCGCAAAGCGTTTGTAAAGAAAACTCCCTGGAAGATGTGATGGTGACCTTAGTTGCATTGTTTTAATGGTGACATACATGGAATTTTGCCTTGTATGTATCCAAATTTTAGCATCACTAACTTGAGTTTTTCCTAAATTTCATCGAACCCGTTTTGTCATTTATCCATACCAGTTGAAATATATTTGCCTGTTTAATCATAAGCAGTTTATATTTTAATATAATAATGATGATGGGTGACAGTTTTATTTCTCTTTAATCACATATTTGATTAGTACACGTTAACAGAACAATGCATTTTACAAATTTTTCTAGGATCCTATCCATACAAATATAATATGCCTTATTCCAAAAATCGCCATAAAATCCATGATTTTTGGCCATGCTGCAATTTTCACTTCCAATGAACTTGAATTTCAGCATAGGCACGTTTCTTTGTACACGTTCTGCTTTCCTTGTAGCAGATCTGAGGACGCCAAGTAATATTTTTCTTTAAGTTTGAATCCTGGATTGGATAGGCTTTCGGATTTTATTATTCTTGAATATATACATTTTTTTTTTTTTTAAAGTTTCTAGGGAGAGAATTGGGAGGAAATGAGTTTCTTTTTCCATTTAGTTTTTCCTCTAACAATTTCTTCATTTTTTGCGTCCCCTTTTATCTGAAGGAGATGAGTGTAGCTAAATGGCCACTGATTTAAGGGTCCCAGTAATCCATTTCCCTCGAGAATCCCTGATGAAAATGAATATCCATTCAAACAACTGTAATTATTTTGTTGAATTCCAGCACTTATCAGTTCAAGTTGCTGAGGCTCACAAAGGGATTGAACTACATCTGAACTCCCACATTCTCTTCTGTATTCCAATGTAATGTTAGTGAGCTGATGATTCTCCAAAAATTCATCAGGAATTGCCTGAAAAAATCAATGAAAATTTCGAGATTTAGATATCCCAGTTCATTATTCAACCAAATGAAGATCTCAAGACAGTTGTTTTCTTGTGTTTACCTCGAGCATCCATCGAACATACTTGACATTGTTTACATGATGGTTCATGTCCAAATCACTTCTCTTTGGCTGCAAATGACAAGGCTGCAATATATCAGTAAAGTTATTCATTATAATGAGGACGCAATATTATTGCCGTGAATATCACCTTCAAGTCTGAGTTCACATAACGCGCGTTATCATCCAACTTATCTATTTTTTCAGGGCTTTCTTCCTTGATTGCTTGTTTATCAATAAACCAAGGTGAAATTTCAGCCCTTACCTCGTCTGGCATTTTTGACAGGCGTCGAGTTCGTTGGTTCATCATCACCCACGTACTGTTCTAGAATCAAATCCTTTGTTAAAAATAGAACAAAGAGCATATTTGTTAAGATGGTCCGGACAGTATTGAAGATACAAGTTAAAATCTTGTCCATTGTGTCAAATCTATCCAACATAGCATACTAAACATATCATAATGATGTTAACAGTTAATTAGCCTTGAGATGAACCTGGTTGCACGTGCAAAAACGACGCCTGTGGCTTTACTTCCGAGTAGCCAGTCTCTCCTCATTCCATTTTTCCCTGATGATCCGACCCACGTGTCTATTTCCATCACTTCCCCCCTATTGACACAGACAACATTTTTATGAAATAAACGTCCAAATTTAATCATTTTTACGTTAAAAATAAGAAAGTCCAGTTCGTTTTTCAATACCAGATTGGATAATGATCCACTTGAACTTGCATTCTTGAAACAACCCAAATGAGATTATTTCTCATCATTCCATGAGTGGCTCCAAATCCATCACCAAGAAGCCCTGACATCCATACATGATTTAATGCCGTTTCCTGCACATTTTTTCACAAATAAAACACCTTCAAAACTTCTGCATGGAAATACGAAAAAGAATACCTGAAAATTTGAGAACCAGCTATTCGTCACCTGAAGCAGGTTGAGAATACTCTCAATTGTTGCAGTTTTATCAGGCCCAACTTCATTTGACCTTATGACAACAGTCTGCCTGTATCGGACTTCCTCCTCAATGATAACCCCTTGGCGAAATGGATCGACTAGCTGCTTTTTCGTGGGAATATTTTGTCGAAACTGCTCTTTGGTGATACACACGTTTGCCTCAGAATCAACAGAAGTGATAGCCAATCCATTTTGGCTCAATAAATCCACTTTTGAAGGCGAGAAACCGTCAGTCCCATTGATTTTAACACAGTTAAGTTTCCGTTTATTCTTCTCCTGGCCTTTTCGGTTGGTCGAGCACCACGTGTAGAAAGCCAGGTGGAAGGATACACAGGCCATTCTCAGTGAAGTGTGTAAAAAGTTGAAATTGTGCTTAGGCTAATCAGATGATTTTATAGCCATTTAGTGGCGGAGAGGACTAAAATAAACAAGATTTCGAAGGAGTAAAAAAATGGAACTTTGTTCTAAATAATGACATTCTAAGGGAGTTCGATGTTCGTAGATTGATAATTTCCAAGAGTGGATGTGAGCTGCGGGATCCTGCTAGGCAGCAATCGACAATTTGAAAATTACAAAAATATTAGTATCAGAAGCCTCTTTTTCCCCCCATATATCAGGCTTGGCATTTTCGATAAGACAGGTTTGGTTCTTTGGTGTAAGTGAGACTGTAGACATGTTTTGTCTGAATTGTAAAGTTTGAGGTTTTGCACGAGTTGGGGATTTCACTAAAAATTCCACACAAATTCATTAAATTCATCCGTTTCCCATCTGCTCTCTCTTCATTTCCTTCACCCCTGCAGATTACATGCAAGCAAAAATAATTCTTTAACTGTCCTTGGCATTGTCCAGCAAGTGAAAACCAAGGTTTCAATTATTCTCCATCTACTTCGAAAGCCAATAATTACTTAAATAAGTCGTTTATCTTCGACTAGCTTGCAAAGCTGAAGACAATTCGCAAGGATTCTTTCTTTTTCCCAGTCTGAGTTACTCGATGAACTGCAAAATCTTTACCTTCTAGTGAGCTTTAGTTCTCCAAATATGGTTTCCAAGGGAAGACTCAAGCTTGACTCTGTATGTAGGATCCCGCAAAATAAACTTCACAATGACCTATGAGCGATATAGCAATGCTAAGCATGTAGCACTTGTATTCATAGTTCCCCCGCAAGGATCAAAAGGAAGGTATAATAGATATAAAGAGCAGATACCTTATATCACAAAACACATAAAAAATGACTAAAATATCTTGGGGATCAGCAGAAGCCCGCATGTTGAAAAAGTATACACATATATGCCTTGTGAATTTACAACGTTTAAAGAAAGCATTCCTATGTGGCCCTCAATGGCACTAGCCCTTTTCTCACAGACACCACTCCTCATATATGGCGCCTTCTAGGAGATTATTCTCGTGAGCTGCCTCAAAAAACATATGGGAAGAAAATTAGGAAATAAGAAATAACAACATTTCAACCAAGAAAGGGGACGGGCTTGAAAAAGGTTAGCATATCTTGGAAAAATGGTCCAAACACTAACTTAAGTAAAAACCCAGAGCACCTAGAACAAGATATCCAAAATGAGTAGTCACAAAGAAGCTGTTGCCACTTGTCCAAGAAACCCAGAAAGCAACTCAAAAACCAGTTTCAAGTAATTTCTTCAGCACTATCTTTACCATCAAGAATCACATATACGGGATCTTGACTCCCTATAGCACATTATACACACAAGAATCAGACTAGATTACACTATCAAGCATTTGTTCGTACAATCTCAAAACCTTCAGCGGACGTCCTGGTCAGATTTCTCATTCATCGAAATGATGTATGTATTTATTTTTGGATGTTCATTCATTGTGTCTTTGAACAACATCTATAAGCCTCATCCATTCTTCAGAATTTGCAACGACTATTTAATATTTATAGGACATTATATGCAATCACTTCTAAACTCCCTTCTGCTCCATATCTTATAAATATTGATTGCTCCAGCCTCCTTTATGAGCTCGAGTATATATCAAAATGTATATCACAGGCTCACGGATACGGGATACCAGCCCTAAAACAACTCCCTGGCTTTCCTAAGATACGAGTTTCCAAGTCAGAGTGAATGGTGCTATCATATCTAATATGGGCCATCACGGGCCATCTTCTATAAAATTTACAAGCTTCTTCTAAATGATCCAAATTACAGATATCATCCACAAAAAAATTATACATTAATAGCATTTCTTCTTGTAACAAGAACGGAGTCGATGTATTACTCACCAAGCTTCAGTTCACCCGTAATGCAAGTTGTGTACGAAAGCCGGTCAGGCTCCACTCCTTCGCTCACCATCTCATCAAATACTTTCTTTGCCATCAGTAAGTTTCCTGCCTTATAAGAACCTTCTATGAGAACTGTATAGCTAAAAGCATCAGGAAAAATGCCATAATCGATCATTTCATCTTTCAGACGCATAGCACCATCTAAATCCCCATGTTGCACAATCCATCCATCATTGTATAAAGTAGGGTCAACATTCCTTCTCCTCATCTCAAACAACAAGAACAAAGCCTCGGTAACATCCCCCAACTGACAGTGTCCATATATTAGAGTGTTGTATGTAACTACATCAGGCACCAAGTTCCTCTTCAGCATCACAGGAATCCACATCCTGGCATCACTCACTCTCCCTAGCTTGCAGAAGCCATGCATAAATGCATTATAAGTCGATATAGACGGCAAGGCTCCTCTAACTTCCATCTCTTCCCTAAGCCCTAGTGCCTCAATCAGCATTCCCTTGTGACAATAACCACATACAAGAGGGTTATATGTATAAGCTGAAACCTTCAACCTTTTATTCAACATCTCCACAATCAGCTCTTTGGCCTGATCAAACTCACCTTTCTTTGACAACCCATTAATCAGAACATTATATGTAAAATCATTCGGACAGAAGTCCCTCCTCTGCATCTCCAGCAAAAGGTCAAGTGCCTGCAGCACTTCACTTTTTTTACAAAACAAATCCAACATCGTGTTATAGGTTACAATAGTAGGCTCGATCCCAATATCCCCCATCATACCATACACCTCTCTAGCTTTCCCAACCAAATTTCTATCCCTAAGTATCCTAAGAGTTCTGTTACAATTCTTCACATCCGGCAAAAACCTGCTCCCCACCATCTTATGAAAAACAATTAAACAATGCTTAACATCAGATTTTTTCGAGTACACCCACAATAATAAATCATGTAACTTAACAGAGACATCACATTTCAAGTATCCATCAATCAATACATCAGCAACACAGTGCAAATTCACACTAAAGGCCTTCTCAGCTTCCCACTAAGCAGAAGTCATCATCTCGTTCTGCACAAGAATTTCAAGAACTGTACAAAATACAAATTCTGAATGCTTAAACCCCATTTGCACCTCAGCCCATCGGAACAAACCGAGCACCACATTTGTTCGGTGGTGAATGGACTTTATAACATTTATAAACAATTCAGAATCAATCATCAAAGCATTAGAATAATTGGGAACGTCCCAGTAAGTGTTTTTAAATGCCCTGGGATTTTCTATTAATGTTTTCATGATTAGGTTTTTGAAATGCCCATCTGGGCATATTTTACTTCTACTGTTTGTAGACACGTATTCACCATTTCAAATTCTGAGGGGCAGTAACAATGTTGTGAACGAGAAGCTTGAGCGCACCTTGAAAATTAAATTAAGAAAGTAGTAAAAGGAGGTGGAGTTTTTAGTGGGTATGAGAGATTTTGAGCGTAGTATACAAAGGGTCCTTTTCCATGTGACTGAATTTTCAGGAAAAGAGATGGTACACATGGTACACAGCACGTCTACTAGGAAAGAAACTTCTATAGGGTGGTCGCACTATCGTCCTATCAGGTTGAGCCATCTCGGCGGTGGCTCCCCACACACCTCCAAGATGTGTGGCCTTGTGGGTCACTCGTCGAGATGGCATCTCGACATTGGTGCACCCACCCAATCGAAGATTCTCTCATCTTGTAGAGGCACAGATAGGGATGACAATCAGGCCTACCGGCTCGGGAAAAGCCCGAGCCAGCTATGCTCGAGGCTCGGTAGACTCGAGTTTAGGCTCGGGCCTAGCCCCATGTTGGGGACACGGGCTTTGCCCGAACTGGCCCGTGAGCTCGCGAGCTTTTTTAAAAAAAAAAAAATTAATTTTGAGGCTTACTGCTGCCTTTTAAAGGTAGCAGTTCAGGAGGAGAGCAAAAAAAGGGGGGGGGGGGGGGGAAAAAAAGAAGCAGTTTTAAAAAAAAAAAGGGGGGGGGGGGGGGGGAGAAAACGAGCATGTCCGGCTCGACCTGTAAAAAGCCTGAGCAGCATATTTTTTTTGGCCGAGCAAGCCCGTAAAAAAGTTCGGCCATTTTAACCGGGTCGAGCCCGAGCTGAAACTTTAGGCTCGCGCCGACTTAGCCCGGCTCATTTACATCCCTAGGCACAGAACCACGTACACGAGCAACCAATGAGCGGCAGCAGCATACAGTTGCTTTACTTTTAGTAGCAATATCTAATCTAATCAAATTGTTCGGTAGTGATCATGAGAATTGATTTTTTGATCGTTCTAGAGAGAAAAGTTAGTTTTATCTGTGAATGAAGAAGTAAAAAATAACGGCTACAATAATAAAATAATTGTGAAAAAATCAATTTTTTGAGGTGAAAATTTGCTATCAAACGGGGCCTAATCTATCTAATCTAAGAGTGGGTTTTGGTTATGTTCATAATCTGAATGGCCGTATAAGCCTAGCTATGTTGGAGTGGGCAGTGTTAGCTGAGTTGTTTGCAAGTGGATGGGTGTAAAATTTAGGTTTTCCTTTTGTTTGTTTAGTCAATCTCTCTTTTTCATTCATTTTCCCCACCTCAATCTCTCTCTTCACTCTTTCATATTTGTTTTTATTTTCTCTCTATAGTTGTTCTTTCTGCCACCAAAATCACTAATGGTCTCTTCTTGCACTATTGATACGTTGATAGATATTATTTGTTGTGAACTATAAATCTTTTTCTTCTTCATTTATTCCATCGACCAAAATCTTAGCCTCCAAAATTCAATCGACGCTGGCGTTTTGCTTCTTTATCATCTCTGTAAATCCAAATCCACTTGTTGAATGTAGATTTGGCTGATTCGATCTGCGTGTATCAATTGAAGATCCGTTTAGGGACAGAAAGATAAACACATCGGTCTGAAGTTTCCTCTTCCTTCCATATGTTATCACGCACAATTTTTTTTTCCTTTTAGATTTTGTGGGAAGAACAAGGAAAATGGTCTTTGATCCCGCTGATTAAAGGTTTCCAGTCAATAAGGTTTTGATAATCAATAGATTCGGGGAAATGGGTATTTGATAAAATTGGAAAATTTGGATGTACGAGTCTTTGATTTTGTTATTCGATCCTACTTTTCCCTACTATATAAAAAGGGCAATGTTTCAGTACTGTAGAAAGAACAGTAGATTCTTCCATTTTGTCTTACTGTAACTTTTTTTTATTGAGATAAAGAAACGACGTCGTTTATCTTACATGTTTGATACAGTGACTTTATTGCTTTTCCTCAATTTACGCGGCGTGGAGGATTAAGTCATAGAGTCATCTTTACTCTTTCTCCAATTTTACACGCTGCAGCCATGCCTCTTTATTTTTTCACACTATCTCTTTTACCATTTTCTCACGCTATCAACCATGTATCTTTAGAAAATTTATTTTTTAACACATAAGTAAGTTTAAATAAAAACATTATTTTTATATATGTACGTAAAAGGTATATAGTAACCATTTGGTTGACCAAAAAATAATTTCAATCAAAATGTTTACGAACCGTTTAAATAATAATTTATTGAGGGAGTTAATTTAAGAGCAAAAGTGTGAATTCCATAAATATATGATTGAAAATATGTTTGAAGAAAAATAAATTTTAATAAATGAAGACCAAACATATTAACAAATAAATATATTTATTTTTTGAAAAATGAGTTTTTATTACCATTTCATTTTTATCATGAAATGATTCTAATCTTAATATGTTAGATTGTGCTTCAAAATTACATAATCTATCAAATATAATTTTTAAAATTAATTTTTATAAAGTAATATATTTTTATGATTTTTTTTTTTTTTAGTAAAGTAATAATGGGCTCAAGTATGAGCCTCCATAACATATTATTTTATAAAATTAATAAGAATTTAATTATTTTCTATTTTTTAGTACTATTATATTTTACCTTCCAAAAAAAAATCATAAAAATATATTACTTTATAAAAATTAATTTTAAAAATTATATTTGATAGATTATGTAATTTTGAAACACAATCTAACATATTAAGACTATAATCATTTCATGATAAAAATGAAATTGTAATAAAAACTCATTTCTCGAAAAATAAATATATTCATTTGTTAATATGTTTGGTCTTCATTTTTTAAAATTTATTTTTTTTCAAACATATTTTCAATCATATATTTATGGAATTCACACCTTTGCTTTTGAATTAATCCCCTCAATAAATTATTATTTAAACGGTTCGTAAACATTTTGATTGATATTATTTTTTGATCATCCAAATAATTACTATATACCTTTTATGTACATATATATAAAAATAATGTTTTTATTTAAACTTACTTATGTGCTCAAAAATAATTTTCTAAAGATACATGGTTAATAGCATGAGAAAATGGTGAAATAGATAGTGTGGAGAAACAAAAAAGCAGGATTGTAGCGTGTAAAAATAGAGAAAGAGCCTCCATAATGCCTCCGTTATTATGGAAGCTCATGCTTGAGCCTCCATAATAACGGAAGCTCAACACTTTTGAGTCAAATGCCCCCATAAGCTAAATATTGCAATTAACAAAATTCTAGAACAAATTAGCTATTTTCGGCAAGTCTCAATAGAAGTGCTTCCTTTCTTTTTTCTCTTTCTTCTCTATTTATTTTCTTCCTTCTCCGTTAGTTGTAAGTAAATTATGTAATTACACAAATCATTAAAGTTGATGACTTTCTTACAAACTTCATTGATCATCCATCACGAAAAAATGTACTTCTATTTTAACAAGGAAAAAAAGTTATTTATATTGCCATTATTTTGAAGAAGTTCCCTTTAAATTTAAGTCGAATTCAGAATGTTGTTTGGATTTATTAGTCACCAAATTCAGTTTTGGATTCTCAATTTCCTTTCATTTGAGGATTTAACTCCGAATATTCTCTTTCACTTTTTATAGTATTAAACTAATGGAAATTAGTGCATTGTTCCTTTTTCCTCTAATTTTTACATAACTGTAACTTAACTTTATTTTCCTTTATTTTTTCTTAATTTACTATGCACAGCCTTGAGTTTTACTAATCTCATGAGTCATGATATACATAAAAAATCTTACACGGACAAATTAATTTTGTGCCTTTGTAAACATTTTGTTTCAAAGTGTAAATAATAAAAGAAAATCATGTCAAATTACCATTAATGTTTCTCACTAAGTTACTCTTTAGTTATAGCTGTTTTCACCAGCATAAAAATTAAGACTTGGATATTCTCTCCTAGAGTTAAGTTGCTGAGTGTACTATGGTAAATGCTTTGAAGTTTTTGTTCACATCTCCAGGCATATGTATTTAATCTTGTTCAGGACAGTTCCAACATCCTTTTTTTAGCAGTGGAAGTGCATCTAGAATTGGAATAATTCTTTATTTTTCCCAATCCACTGTTCAACTTTTTCATTTGACAGTTTTGAACATTAATGATTTAGTAGCTGGAGATATAATTATTAGTTTAAATGAACGAGATGAGGATATAAAAACCACTGGGACTGCCTCAGGAAAGGCAATGGAAGAGGGTGGTATCTTGTAAGTATCTTGCATTATAGTTTATCCCAATGAAGCAATTTGTTTCAAACTTGTTAAATGCTATAGTCTTTTTTTACCTCTTGAGAATTGCGTTCCCACAACTATTTTAGTAGTTGTTGCTCATAGGGCTAAATGCTTTAGATTTGTACACAATCTAGATAACATTTTTACCTTCTATTAATTTCTAATAGTCCACTTCTCTCGAAGTACTGATAACACACTTTTTTCCAGTCTAAGAATAAAGATATCACTTGTTAGTTTGTATGTGAATTTGTAACTTCTTCCAGGATATGCCTACTTGTGACCTTAGTTTACCTAATCTTCTTGAGATTCAACAATTAGTTTATTTAGTCGATAACATCAGTTTAGAATATTCTATGTAATAAAAGACTGATTTTCTAAAAGAAGCTAATTCCTTTGAAAGAGAGCTTCATTTTTATAATATTCACTCCCTCCTTTTGAAATGGACAAGAAAAGTTCGGGTATTGTTAGAAGCATACATATGGAGGATAAGCTTCTAGACTTCGAAAATATTGAATCTCAATATTGGATGGAACTAGATATAGTATTGAGTAATGTTAAGGAGTTTTTGAATTCTACAGAGTTTGAGTTAATGAAATATCTATTAGAGCATCGTTTAACAATACAGTGCCTTGAAGTTTAGTAATACTGCTCAAATTCCTCATCATGAATGGACACATAAGTGTTGTAGAAAAACCGTGTTTT